GTTGTTTACAACTTAATCTTCAAACCGAGATCATGGCTCCTCAGCAATTTGGAGAGGTCCCTGATCGCAGACCTTCTCAATGCAGCGCATCTCCTGAACTCCTGACTGCTTGGACCAAGGATGTTGATTGTGGATCCAAGTAAGATGAAATCATTGACACTTTAAATATTTTCTCAATGTATCATGATATTCCGTCTGTAATGGAATATGCAGTGACATACTTCAACAAGAAGATGCAGCCCTGCATGTGCTCACCAGACTGTACCAAGACATCTGGAGGGTATCTACCTTGCCAACTGAATAGAAGACTTCCATATTTCTTCCCATTCCCAGGAAAGGTGATCCAACAGAATGTGGAAATTACTGAACAATATAATTGCTATCACATGCAAGCAAAATCTTGCTGAAGATTACCCAAAAATGGCTAGAACAGTACATCAACGGAAAACTGCCAGAAATACAAGCTGAGTTTAGAATTGGCTATGGTATTAAGGGCATCATTGCTGATGTCACATGGACCTTGGCTGAAAGCAGAAGAGAACCAGAAAAATATTTGTGTTTTATTGAGTATGCAAAAACATTTGACTGTGTAGATCACAACAAATTGAAAAGAATGGGGATCCCAGGACACTTGATTGTACTCAAGCGAAACCTATACCTAGACCAAGAGGTTGTCATCTGAATAGAGCAAGAGAACACTGGTTCAAAATCAAGACAAGAGTACATCAGGGCTGTATCTTTCCCCCATACCTTTTCAATCTATATGTAGAACAGATCATTTGAGAGACTGAACTTTATGAAGAAGAATATGGGATCAAGATTGGAGGAGGACTCATCAAGCAACCTACATTAGGCAGATGACAAAACTTTGCTCGCTCTAACTTGAGACACTTGCTGCAAAATATGAAGGGCCACAGTCTTCAATACGGATTACATCTTGACATCAAGAAAACAAAAATCTTCACCACCAGACCAAAGGGCAGCATCATGATAGATGGAGAAGATTGAAGTTATTAACCATTTTATGTTGCTCAGATCCTCAGTCAGCACCCTTGGCACCACAGCCAGGAATTCAGAAGACAGGTTGTATTGGGAAAATCTACTGTCAAGGACCACTGCAGAGTGCTAAAGAGCAATGATGTCAGTCTAGAGACTAAGATGCACTTGAGCCAAGCCATGGTCTTCTGAATTGCTTGCTGTGCATCTGAGAGCTGGACAATAATGCCAAGAATTGATACCTTTGAGCTGTGGTGCTGGAGAAGAGTATTGAACATATCATGGATTGCCAAGAGAATAAACAGGTCTGCTGGGTGAGGGTGAAACCAGCTTGCTCCTTGGAGGCAGGGATTTTGGAATTCCATCTCATGCTTTTGGCATGTTGCCAAAGGGGCCAGTTCTTGGAGAAGGATGTCATACTTGGAAAGGTGGAAGGTCAGTGTAAGAAAGGATGACTCTGGGTGAGACAGACTGACACAATGACAGTGACACTGGGGCCAGGTATGTCAGAGATGGTGGTTAGCTCAGGTTAGGGCACTGTTCAGAGCCATTGTTCATGGGGTCACTGTGAGGCATAGTCGACCGAAAGGTGCTGAAAAACAACAACAACATCATCATGATGTTGCTTATTGGTTCTGTGGTGAAGATTTTTGCCTTATGATGTTGAAATGTAATCCATATTGAAAATTGTAGTCTTTGATCTTCTGCAGCAAGTGTTTTAAGTCAGTCCTCACTTTCAGCAAGGGAGGTTGTGTCATCTGCATATTGCATGCAGTTTGTTGATGAGTCTTCCTCTGATTCTGATGCTACATTCTTTTTCAGAGTCCAGCTTCTCAAATGATTTGTTCAGCATACAGATTGAGTATGTAAGGAGATAGGATAGAGCCCAGACACAATTTTCATGAATTTAAACCGTGCAGTATTCCCTTGTTGTGTTCAGATAACAGCCTCTTGGTCTAGGTACAGGTTTCATGTGCACATAATTAGGTGTTCTGGGATTCTTATTCTCAATGTTTGACATATTTTGATATGATCTACACAGTGAAGTGCTTTTGCATAGTCAATGAAACACAAGCAGACATTTTTGCGGCCTTTTTTTTGCTTTCAGTTTGGAGGGTGGGAGTCAGAAAAGGAAGACCCTCAGGGAGTTGTACTGACACACTGACTGTACCCAATAGACTTGAGCACACTGGAGATTGTGGGCTGGCACAGTGTCTGTTGGACATGCACTTGCTGTGAGTTGGAGGTGACTCAATTCACCTAACAGTAAACAGCCAATGATTCCGAAGATTTCTCATGTGTTTATTGGCCAATTGAATTCTGTCTTTAGTGAAGCATCTCTCATATACTCTGACCTTTTTTGTTTGTTTAGCAGTGTTACATAATGTGCATTCTAGAACACCAGACCTCTTTTCTCTCATTTGTCATTTTCTTGTTGAGGTGTTGGAGTTTTCTATAATTTCAGAGATTGGTCTCTCGTCAAATATATTGTTGCCAAATATATCCTCCCCCTTCTGTAGGTTTTCTTTTTACTCTTTTAGAGAAGTCTTTTGATAAGCATAAGGTTTTAACTTTTTGGATGGTCTCCACTGAGTTTTCAAAGCCATGATCTTTTTAAAAGCAAGTAATTCTTTCTTTTAAGGCACTTCTGGTGGATTTGAACAACCAACCTTTCAGTTAGTAGTTAACTCTTTACCATTTGCACCACCGAGGGACTCCTACTACTCATTTGCAAGTCCAGTATACCCTTTTTTTGTTGTTGGGGGTGGGGGAGGCAGGCTATTGTATCTCATCTTTCTGAGTATTAGGACTTCTTTTTTGTTAAGAAAAATAGACTTCTCTTTCCCTACATTATAGCTGTGCTTTTAATAGCAGTTGGATTCCAAAAGACTTCTAATTCTATTGGTTACAACATTGTGTTGTTGTTAGATGCTGTTGGGTGTGACTTATCGTGATCCTTTTAACAACAGATCTGAACCCTGACCTATCTTGTGTCATTCTCATCGTCTTTGACATACTTGAGCCAATTGCGCACTCACTGTGTCAATCCATCACAATGAGGGTCTTCCTCTCTCTCACTGATCCTCTACCATTCTAAGCATGACGGAGTAGCCTCTCATAGCAACATGCCCAAAATGTGTGAGATGAAGCTTTGTCATCCTTGCATCAAAGGGTCCTTTTGGATGTACTTTATTTAAGCCATATTTGTTTGTTCTTTTGTCGGTTCATGGGATATTTACTACTCTTCTCCAACACCACAGGTCAAAGGCATCAATTCTTCTTTTGTCATCCTTATTCATTGTTCAGCTTGTGTTTAGAACTCAATGCATCAATAACTGATAGACATAAATTTTACAAAGGGGGAATTTTATCCAATTATTAATCTATATTGTATGTGCAATATAAAATATCCTAAAACTATGGTTTTGAAGTTCTGCTTGCTAAATGAACTTTGGAATTTAATCTTTCTTTTACTACATTCATATTAGAGCAAATTCAAGGCGCCACACACTTGAGCACAGAAGACCTCGGTGAGAAGGGTCTTTATGACATAGGAAACCACTGATTGAGCGTCTTCTCGGTCAGGAGTGCTGTTTGTGCTTCTGATATAAAGAAAGATTTAAAAGAACTCCAGCAGTAAAAGCTTCTGACATGTAAATGGTCTACTACTAAATTGAAATAATCTCTTCATACTTGTCATTTTACATGGATAGTATCATAAGACAAGTAATGCCAGATTAAGACCTGCCTAGCAGAGGGAAAACGAAATTACACGACTTTTATTAAGGCATAAATAAACCTATTAACTGTTATCTGGAATACCAATTAGTAGAAAGAGCACTGACAATTTTATTTATCAACATTAAACACAATTATTAATTACAGACCTGACGAATCTAGCTGTAAGCAGGCCACGGTGGCTGTGCTGGGACCGTAAGTCTATTACATGAGAGGGATGGTTACCAAAATCCTGTGGGGAAATAAGTAATTGGAGTTGTAAAATTTTAATTGCCTCAGAATGAGGCAAATTATATTTTCTTGTCTGAGAATATAAATAGTATGGCATTAAGGTAACAAGCTCCACTAGTTGTAAACAGAAAATGAATTTATGTTGGGTTCTGGAACAAAGGAAAGAATGATGGCTTTTTAGTGGGCTAGTCTTCGGTGTGAATGGCATCTTGTTAATACGTGCAGACTGTCTTTAGATAGATTGCTGGGTAGGTGAGTCATTTCCTGCATTCCTTAATTCATAGTGAAAATTAATGTGGGAGCAGAGATGTTTTAATACATCACTGCAAGTGAATGGGAAATATGTGGCTGAGAAAGTGTTTTTCATTGTGCTTTGCTTGGCACTGTCATGAAATGAGCATGAGGTAATTCACATGTTTGTCTTGTCTTTTTAAAATTTTTTGTTGAAGATCCAAATTCCAGAATCTGTGGACATTTGCTCATAGGTGCAGCCAAGAATTCTTTTGCAAAACTCATGGATAAAATCAGCTTGGCCATGGAGAGCATACCTCTGCACAGTAGGAGCATTACGTACGTAGAGAAGGATTCCCTGGTTCAGAGGTTGGCCCGTGGGCTCCATAAAGTCAACACGCTGGCCCTGAAGCATGGTCTCCGTAACCACGTGCCTATCATGGTATGTATTCAAGTTAATACAATTGTGGCCTCAGCACTTTGAAATCAGGGTTGTTTCAGTCAAACTTATTTGGAATTGGAAACAATTGTACTTGGATGTAGTTAGATTTCCACAGAACTTGTAAATAAAAGTACTTTAAAACAAATGCCTAAAATATCAAGATACAAAAGTTCTGGGGTAAAAAAAAAAGTTCTGGGGTTTGTTCTGAGCTCATTTTCCTTGATAACGGCCATAGAATTATGTGAAATATAAACAGATATCAATAACATTTTCTAGCCATTTAGCCTATATTTGTTTATTTCATAGAAGTCAGAGTATAGTGTCATAAGAAATGGAGCTTTCATCTCTGAGTTTCAGTAATAGTATTATTTATTTAAATTTAAAACAATTTTTTAGTTGTGTGTTAGATACAAGTTAGCAAATTACTTTTCTATTCAATAGTTTTCACATATTTGGTGTGGTTTTCTGCACTACCTCAGTTGTATATAATTTGGAAAAAATGATTGTTTGTGTAGATTTATTACTAAATTTGTACTTACTGTGCATAATGTTACTCTTCCCTACCATCAGAAAAGCACAGCATCGTTACAGAAGCAAATATTTGGATTTACGCAGAGGTTGCATGCAGCTGAAGTAGAGCGCCGCTCGCTGCGCTTAGAGGTCACAGAATTCAAGCGAAGTGTGAATGAAATGAAAAAGGAACTGGACAAGACCCAGAGTCTCCAAATGCAACTAAATGAGTTTAAGCAGTCTGTGAGTATATTTGATTTTCGGAAATAGGGCTTTGGTGAGCTCCTCTGGTATGTGTGTGCTTATGTGTAAGTATGTAATATTTACAGTCCTATTTATAATACATGTACATGCCCTCTTAAAAATGAGGGTGGTCTGGTGGCAGAGTCCACAGGGAGCTGCCTTTTTGTCCTAAAGGCAGCATCTCTCTGGTTTCTCTAATTCACCAGCGACTCTTGGGGAGAATGAAGGCAGTCGCTGTCTATTCTGTGTACGGCCTCAGAAAACCCTCTACAGGGTCAGCTATGTGTATATATGTTGTTGTTGTTAGGTGCCATCAAGTCAGCCACCACTCACAGTGACCCACCACTCACAGTGACCCTACAAACAACAGATCTGAACCCTGTCCTATCCTGTGCCATCCTCAGCGTCTCTGATACACTTCTGTAGATATATAAGTGAAATATAATATATATAAATCTAGACATATATATTCAGATATTTAGTAATTTATAGATAATATCTTTGTCTTCATATTTAATTTGCTTTCTCAAAATAGCTAAAAGTCCTTTTAAGAAGATTTTTTTCTTCTTTTTTGGAACACTTTCTTTGTGAAAAGCCTCTATTTGTGAGGAGCCTGATGTTTGGAGAATGGGTCTTTTTATCTTTTTTTATTGACTATGCTGCATAAATGAGGTTATAAATAGGACTGTAAATATTACATGCTGAATATTCAAGTTACTTTTTCCAATGACTCATTCAATTTGTCATCTTTCATCAAGGCTCTGTGTGTGTGTGTGTGTGTGTGTGTGTGTGTGTGTGTGTGTGTATTTAGAAGCAGGAGTGGCTTCCATTTCCTAAACAACATGCCTTTGGAAGCTCTGTGAATTTGATAAGTGTTGATAGTTGTAGAGGAGCTTCAGGCCTTTTGTTCATAGGGTCGCTATGAGTCGGGCTCGACTCAAAGGCAACAAACAACAATAACAACAACAACAACAAATGTGTATATGTATATATGTACACACCTCCCCCTCTAAAAAACATTAAAAAGCAGCAAACCTACTGCTAATCAGTCCATTCCAACTCCTAGTAAGTGCTCATCTTTTGACTAGCAGCCTAGCACATAACACACTGTGCCACCAGGGCTTTTAAAAGACATGATAACTTAGAAAAGACAGACTGTCTGCCAAAACACATTGGATCAAGATCAAAATGTATACATCAAAATGAATACATGAAGTACAATAAAATAGAGTTGTATATAAGCTGTTTGCAGTTGAGTTAGTTATTAACACAGTCTTCTTAATGTGAATATTGTTGTTTTATTTGTGTGCTGTTGAGTCATAGCTGACCCTCTGGTGGATTTTCAGTAGCAGTAATTTGCATGGGAGGAGATTGTCTTCTCTTACAGAGCAGCTTGTGGGTTTAAACCACATACCTTTGGGATTACAGCTCAACTTCTTACCACTAGGTCACCAGGGCTGCTATGGCCTGGTTGCCAGAGAGAGCATGGTGCTGTGGCCGTTTTTGGACGTGAAGGACTACTCTGCCTCCAGGAGCCAGGCAAGCCAGGCTTGGCCTAGGGTTTAAGGCATCAAGGGGCTTCAAGTCCAAAAGTCTTTCATTGTTTTTGTTCAGACATTTCTCTAGGTCGTATAGCCCTGGTGTACAAGTTGCTGCACTGCGGTCACTTGTGGTTGCTGTGAGTCTGAACACTGTGCCACTGATGTGTCAAATGCATTAATGGTTGTCAAATGCAATAATTAATATATATATATATATATATATGTATGTGTTTGTTTATCTTTAACATACACACATTAGCAGTTGATGCTATGAAGGTGAGACATTGGTGGAAAATCTGCTATCCAGGAACTCTCCAGAGAGCTGAAGAGCAAGGATGTCAGTCTAGAGACTAAGGTGCACCAGATCCAGGCCTGTTCTTCACAGTTACTTGCTATGCATCAGAGAGCTGGACAATGACCAAGGATGATAGAAGAAGAATTGATGCCTCTAAATTGTGGTGCTAGAGAATTGAACGTACCATAGACTTCCAGGAGACTAACAGGTCTGCCCTGGAGAGTATAAAACCAAGCTTCTCCTTGGAGGCAAGAATTTTACTGTCTCACATACTTTGGGCATGAAGCCAGGAGGGGCTAGTCTTTGGAGAAGGACATCATACATGGAAGGGTGGAAAAACAGCACAGGAGAGGAAGAACCTAGACGAGATGGAATAACACAGTAACTGGGATAACGAGGGTAGTTGTCTCAGACAGTGAGATTGGCTCAGGATAGAGCAGGGTTCAAAACTGTTGTGCATAGGGTCACTATAACGTGCAGGTGACAAGAACAAAACCAAAGTAGCTATTATGAGAACATACAAAGGTAGTGTTTTGTAAAATATAAATACTGCACACGTATTTGTGACGTATTGGATGTACCCTTACCAGGTGACTCAGGATGTGTCACTTCCATTTCTGCCTTGTGATCGTTCTCGTTACTGTATATTTACCTTAAGAAAGTCATATTTCTATACTATTAGTTTTTAAAATTTCATCCATGTTGAAAGATGCATGATAAATATCCATGGAAAGAGAAATGATTCTAAAATAAAAGTAATAAGAAATAAAGTCCATATTCAAGCACAATAATGTGTACATTCCAGATGTTTAGAATCAAGATTTTTTTTTCTACTTTTTCTTCCTCACTCGGCCCCCACAGTCTTTAAAAAAAATTAAATCCACTTGCTTCATATTTGTTCTTAATTGTTTGAATTCACCTCGTTTTCCCTTAGAAATGGGAATGCTGGAAAGCCCACAGAAACATGTACTCAGCATGGTGGTGAGGCCTGCACGGTTCCATTAGCTGTCCACATTCTCAGATCATCTACATTTTGTGAAGCATTCCTGTTCCTTCTTTTTCAAGATCAAGGTTTTCCTCATTGTTTGATGTACCTAATTTTCATTTGTTAAAATGTTTTGAACAAGAGACAAGTGTGTCTTTCCTTGGATTTCACATTCTGAAGGATTAACTCCCCATCCAGAACTGTCCCTAGTTTTTCCGGGATAGAATGCTTTCCCCTCCAAGGCAGCTGTAACATTGTGAGAACCATATAGTGTGTTGTGGTGTACAGTGTCTCTGACAGATTTCATACGTGAATGCTCCAGGTAACCAGTATTAACAGAAAACCCACCGAGCCCCAGGCTTTCTTCTCTATGATGGCTAGCAAACTAACAGAGGTCCCTGCTTGACTCTCCTACTTCTAAGTGTGTGCGGTTGTTGAGAGGGTACAGGCAGACAGTGAGAAATGAGACAGTGAGACTCTTTGAAATGACTGTCGTTGTTATATGCTGTCGAGTCACTTGTGACTCATAGTGACCCTATGTACAACAGCCCTAGACGCTGTCCTGTCCTGTGCCAATCGTACAGTCACTGACACATCCACCCCGATTACCCCAGTCATTGAATCAATCCACCTCATAGAGGGACTTCCCCTCCTGCGCTGTCCCTCCACCCTCCCAAGCATGAAGTCCCTCTCCAAGGACTGATCCCTCCTTTCAACATGTCCAAAGTATGTCAGACAAAGCTTCAGAATCTTTGCCTCCAAGAAGCAGCCTTGTTTAATCCTCTCCAGGATGAACCTGTTCTTTTTCTTAGCAGTCCATGGTATATAATACTCTTCTCCAACACCACAGCTCAAAGGCATCAATGCTCCTTCTATCCTCTCCAAGTCATTGTCTAGCTCTCTAATGCATAGCAAGTGATGGTGAAGACCATGGACGGTATCAGGTGCACCTTAGTCCCCAGAGTGACACCATTGCTCTTAATTACTTTGGAGAGGTCCCTAACAGCAAACTTTACCATGGCAATACATATTTTAATTTCCTGGCTGCTGGTGCCAAGAGTGTGGATTGTGGAGCCAAACAAACTAAAGCTGTGAACAATCTCAGTCTCTTCACCATTTATTGAAATGAACAGAGATGAAAAAATGATGGTAAAGAAACAAGGCAGGTTGATATGACAGTGTGAGTAGTCATGGAAATGTAGGAGATACGATCTTGATGTAGAAGAAAACCAAGTTTCCTAAAAAAAAAAAAATAGTGTATTGGAGCATTTGCCATGTCTCCCCCATACGGCAGTTGGTGGGTTAGAACCACCAGCAAGGTGCCCCCACATTTGGGTTAGTGGTGCAGCTCCCTATAGTCTACGCCACCAGAGCTTCCAAAGCAAAGTTGATGAAGCAAAGCTGATGAGATTTTTTTTTTCAAGCATCAGACACTTAGAATATTTGTATTATATATTCTGTATCCTAATAAATATAATCCGGAAGATTAAATGATGCGGTGCAGCTAGTTTGTAACTGAGTAATGACTTTTTTCTTTTCTCAGAAATTAATCACTCATGAGAAGTTTGAAAGTGCCTGTGAAGAGCTGAATAACGCCTTACTTCGGGAACAGCAGGCCCAGATGCTCTTGAATGAACAGGCACAACAACTACAAGAGTTGAATTATAGGCTGGAATTGCACTCCAGTGAGGAGGCTGACAAAAACCAAACTCTTGGGGAAGCTGTTAAGGTAGGAGGGCACTGTTGGCAAAAGCGGCTTTTTCTTCCGTGTGTGATTCTTTGAGGAGATGATGCGTGTCTACAGACAAGAATCTCAGATCTGAAGTGAAAGAATGCCGATCTACTGATTAGACGGCAAGATATGCGTTATTATAATGGCTGAAAAGATGGAATGAAACATAGTGATGAGAAACTATACATGCACATGTTTTAAAAATGTAAACTAGGTCTCATTTGCTGGAGAAAAGAAAACTGGCACTTTCTCCAGTAATAATTTTTATATTTGTTCTTTTTATTTTATTCTGTGCTCCTTTCCTTTTCTTGTTTGTTTTCTTCTGCATGTTAGAACACTTCAATTAGTCACCTAGATATTAGGAAGTTTTGAGTCTGGGTGTGTAATTCCTTGACTATTAGTCAAGCTACGTATTTAAAGAAATGTGCTCACTGCCATGGAGTTGATTTTGAGTCAGTGTGATCCTCCATTACGTTGCTGATTTGAACTACTGACCTTTTGGTATTTTTATTTATTCATTGTTGCACATTTTCTCCCCCCATTTCTTCCCCCTCAACCCATGCAACAGTGCACCCCTTGTTCCAGATGGTCTGTTATAATGCAATGCTCATTTTCTATCCACTCATTCCCCAGTCCCTCTCTAACCCCCTATTTCTGTCCTTTTTTACAGTGGTAATATGCAGTATTTATCCTTTTGTGATAGAGGTATTTCACTTAGTATAATACTACATAGCATTGAAAAACAATGAAATAGTAAAACATTATGCAACATGGGGGAGCCTTGAGAACCACTGTCCTTCTAGTCAGTAGCCTGGCATGGTGTATACTACAGCACCAGAGTTCTCCCCCCCCTTTTTTTTAAAGTGTATTGATCATTAAGAGACATTTGTATAAGGGAGCTCTGGTGGCCTAGGGGCAAAAAGCTGCATTGCAATCCTGAAGGCGTGAGGTTTGAAGCCACCAGATGCTCCGCTGGAGAAGGAGGGGCAGTCTCCTCCTGTGCCAGTCGGTTCTGACTCAGCAGTACACAACAAGAAAAAAAAAGGATAAAAAGGAGAGATATTTCTATGTGCTTCTTGTTGCATGATTAGATAATCTAATTGACTATGCTTTGAAAAAAAGCATATGGCAGTATTATTTTGGCCTTTTCTTATAATGGTTTGTGTTTCAGAAGATCTAAAGTTATTCCTATTAAGTTCTAAAAAAATGCTAGTAGTTTAAATATTGTCATCAGGAGTGGTGAATGATTTAATTACTGCCTCTTAATTAGGCCTAGCAGGTAGTAATGAGAAAATACTCTCTTGTGGGAGACAGCGTGGTTTACTGGAAAAAGCACTGGCCTTGGAGCAAGTGTTCCTGAATTCAAATCCCAATTCTGTCACTTGGGCAAATTACTTAACCTCTCTGAGCCTCAGTTTCCTGTTCTGTAAAAATAGAAAGGATGATAATTAAGTTGCAAGATTTTTATGAGACTTAATTAGGACACTGTTAATAAATAAATAAATATGTGCTTGATAATGATTCCTTTATATGTCTCAGGAATACTTGAAAAAGTAGCTGTTTTTTTATACTGTGTTCTACATATAACTAGTTTCTTTAAAAGCTTATAATAATTTTAATTTCTTATAAGAACAAAATTAGATCATGAATAAAAATACATAACATACAATTAAAATAAGTTAACCATGACTTGCCATCTGACAACAACTACTGTTAACATTTTAGGATTTTGTTTGTAGTAATTTTCCAATAGGTTTTATACATCACACTTGAGACTGTTGCTGTTAGGTGCTATCTGGTAGAATGTGGCTCTTAATCACCCACTGAGCAGCAGATAGGAATCTAGTGTTGTGCTGTGCCGTAACAATCTCCAACATTGAGCCAGTTGTTACAATCACCATATCAGTCTATCTTGTTGAAGACTGTCCTCTCTTTTGCTTATTTTCTTCCTTTGCCAGTATGATGCATTTTTCCAAGGACTGTTAAGTGCCATCGACTTGCTTCTGACTCATAGTGACTCTATGTACAACAGCTCCATACCCTGCTGTATCTTGAGCCATTTGTCTCTGGCACACAAACCCCTATTACCACAGTCACTGAGTCAATCCATCTCATCCAGCGTCTTCCTCTCTTGCACTGTTTCTCCACCCTTTCAAGCATGATATCCCTCTCGAAGGACTAGTCCCTCCTTGCAGCATGCCTAAAGAATGTCAGATGGAGCTTCAAGATCCTTCTAGCCTGGTTTTACCTTTTCCATGATAGACATGTTTGTTTTCTTAGCAGTCCATGGTATAGTCAGTACTCTTCTCCAGCACCACAACTCAAAGGCATCGGTTCTTCTTTTGTCATCTTTAGTCATCGTCCAGCTCTCTGAGCAAATAATTGTGAAGACCGTGGCCTGGTTTTGGTTTAGGTGCACCTTAGTCTATAGATTGATATCATTGCTCTTAAATATTCTAGAGTGGTCTCTGAGAGCAGATTTTCCCCAATGCAATTCATCTTTTGATTTCTTGGCTGCTGGTACCAAAACTGTTGATTTTGGAGCCAAGCAAGTAAAAATGTGTGACTGAAATGCAAAAGTTGGGAACAAGGAAAAAGGATTGCTAGTCAGGAAACATGTACTTGGTGATTGAAATGAGGCTGGTGATAGAATGATAGAATTCTGTAGAATCATTGATTTATTCATTGCAAATACCTTATTTTATAAGAAACGCCAATGCAACTATTCACATTGACCTCACTGGATGGCCTACAAAGGAATCAGACTGACTACGTATATGGGAAAAATCATTGGAAAAGTTCAATATTAGCTGTGAAAACTAGGCCAAGTGCTGGTTGTGGATCAGATCATCACCTTCCAAGGACTAGACCCTTCTAATAACGCCAAAGTATGTGAGATGAAGTTTCACCATCCTTAACTCTAAGTAGTATTCTGGTTTCACATCATCCAAGACAGATTTGTTAATTCTTTTATCAGCCCATGGGATATTCCATACTTTTTGCTAACACCACAGTTCAAAGGCATTGATTCTTCTTGGGTCATCCTTATTCATTTTTCAACTTTCAGATGCATATGAAGCAATTGAAAATACCATACCTTGGATCTGGTGAATGTTAGTCTCTAAACTAATATTCTTGCCATTTGGAGAGGTCCTTGACAGCAGATTTTCCCAATGCAACTTTTTTTTAAAAATTAGATGCTCAGGAAGGGCTTCCCATTATAATGCAGTTAAAGTCTTAACTAAGAACTTTCCTGTGATAGAGTCACTCATTACTAAAGCTCCAGTTTTGTGCTTAGAAATCTCAAAAGGAGAAAACATGATGGCACAGACAAAACCCAGTGAGGAGAAATTGAAGTTAGCACTGTGAACAAATGCTGGCTTTGCAAATGCCAGCGTCAGTATTGGGAGCAGAAGACAACAGGCTGTGGGCTGGACCTGAGACGCCTTCATGAAGGGATTGCTTAATAATGTGAAAGAGAGAAGCAGTCCGGGTTAGTAGTGCTTACTGCTCCTGGAAGAAGCAAATGCAAAGCTCTCTCTAGAAGAAATCTTGCCTCATTTTACCCATCAGAATCTTCCCAGGTACGATCAGTAAATAAACCCACTTCCCCCACCCCCGTCACTTCCACCCCATGATGAAGATCCATTAGGTCGCCAAGCCTGTAATTCTCTATGAAGGAGGCTGCTCATCTCTCATCCTTGGGGTGGCTTGTGGATTTAAACTTCCCACCTTTCGATTAGCAGTCCAATGTATCACATGCATGGTTCCTTAGGCACGTGAATAGACAGATATTCTCATCTTAAATTCCGCTGCCTTGGGGAACTTCTATGAAAGGGAGCTCTGGTGACCTGTTGGTAAGGAGTTTCACTGGCAATCCAAAGATAACCAGTTCTAATCCTCCAGCTGCTCTGTTGGAGAAAGATGGGTAATCTTCTCACTTGCATTTACTGCCTCTGATATCTGTCTGGAGGATCAGCTGTGGGTCAGTTCTAACTTATTGATCCGTTCTAATACTTTATCTTTAAATCCTAGGTTTTTTTCTACATAACAGCATCATCTCTCCCCCACCCTATATTGACAGTCTGTTTTTCCTTCCAAACTTTAGGACTTCTACCTACTCATTTTCCTACTTTATTCCTCTGGCTAGGATACAGTGTTGAGAGAACTGAAGATGGTAGACATTTTTACCGTCTACTTTTTAAAGATCCTTAAACATCCTTTTGATGTTATTCTACCAGTAAGGAATTTTTTTTTCCAGTAAGGAATTTTGATAGAGAATTTTTATTTCTCCAAATATAGGATCACTGTAAGTTGTTTTCTTTACTCTCTTTTTCTTCAAATACACATAGAGATTAATAGTAACTGCCTGCAAACTTTCAAGAACCCAATTGCTTCTCAGCGTACTAGGATGTGGAGTATTATCTTTGTGGACTGTATTAGAGCAATTAACTTTAATGTCCTCCAAGAGTATGGTTTTTCCATTCTTCTGAGAAATGTGTCTGGGTCTTACCTGAGTTTCTCTAAGTGTTTTGTGTCCTTTTATTTCTCCCTCTGCAGCTTTTGTGATTTCTTTTTATCATTGGTTTTTAGAGTTAATTATGGTGGGTCTTGATTTTGTGTCTTTGTTTTTCCTTCTTGGGGCTCACTGATGCTTCTCTAGTTGGTGGGCTTAGTATTAACTATGTTTGAAAATTTCAGCCATTATTTCTTCAGATTTTCCCTTCAATCTCTCTTTTCCCACTTCAAAGAAACTACTGGTCTCTGAGACTCTGCTCAATTTTTCTTTCTTTTCATCTCTAGAGGTTCCAATTTGCTTCTAATATCTTTCCTTTCCTTCACCACAATGCTTATGTTTATCTTTAAATACTTGAATAAAGTTATAATAGTTATCTGTGCATAATGTTCTCATCTTCTAACTTTGCCATTCCTATAATTTATTGGCCTATTTCAATAAATTGATTTTCCATCTGATTATGAATCCCATTTTTCCTTAT